ATTCTCATTCAACTTAAAGTCAAAGTCTCTGCAATGATTGAAAAAGCCCTTTGCCATCGAGTGGACTCCAACTTATGGCAACCTCATGTGTCAGAGTAGAACTGTGCCTCATAGAATTTTAAATGGCTGATTTCCCAGAACTAGATCTCCAGGGCTTTCTTCCAAGACACCTCTGGGTGGGCTCAAACTTCCAACTTTTCAGTTAGCAGCCAAACACTTTATCATCTGCACCTACCCAAGGGCTCTTCTGGAATGATCTAGAAGGCCCTAAATGACTGGATTGTGAGCTCCATTTTTGCTTGCCCACTGGGATCCAGTCCAGAGGCCTTCTTGCTGGGCCAGGAACCCCCAGCCCACTCCTGCTCTCTACTGCACGTGCATATCTCCCCCCAGACATCTGCATGGTGTTTCTTCAGGCCTCTGCTCAGAACCCCCCTGGGAAGCCCCCTCTAGGGCTCTACCTAGCCAGGGTACACCCTTCCCGGTTAGGTTTCTACTCCCTAACTTCCTTGTTTCTTTACTGTCCGTTTTCCTGAGAGCTGGGAGTAGAGTGTTCACTGCTGTGTTCTCTGCTCTGAGCACATCTCTGAGAACACGGTCCCTACCTATTGCTAGAGCACACCACACTTCCTCCTGTGTTGTGATCTTTTACATGGTTGCTCCTTCTGCCTGGAGGTTTCTTCCACAAGATCCAGGTTCTTTTTTATTTTTTAATTGTGACATATATATACATATACATATATATATATATATATATGTATAAAAACCCACCAAACCCATTGGCGTCCAGTCGATTCCCACTCATAGTGACCACATAGGACAGAGTAGAACTGCCTCATAGGGTTTCTAAGGAGTGGCTGGTGGATTCGAACTGCTGACCTTTTTGATTAGCAGCCAAGCCAAAAGGTTGGCAGCTTGAACCCACCAGCTGCTCCTTGGAAACCCTATGGGGCAGTTCTACTCTATCCTATAGAGTTGCTATGATTCAGAATTGACTCCACGGCAATGTTGTTGTTTTTTTTTTCATGAATATATACAAGTATATAAAACAAATGTTTTGTTGTATATATATAAATCTTTATATATGAAACAAAACATTTGCCATTTTAACATTTTTAAAGTACAATTCAGTAACATTAATTACATTCATCACGTTGTTCCACCATCGCCACCATCCATTTCCACATTTTTCCATCACCCTTAACAGAAGCTCATGTCTCATAAGCATTGAGTCCTCCTTTCCTCCTTCCTCCAGCCCACCCTTGGTCACAACGAATAAACTTTGGTCTCTATGCACTTGCCTATTCTAGATATTTCATAGAAGTAGGATCGTACAAATTTTGCCCTTTTAATTCTGACTTACTTCACTCAGCATAGTGTTTTCAAGGCGCAACGATGTAGTAGCATGTATCAGAACATCATTTCTCTTTATAGCTGAATAAAATTCCATTGTGTGGATATACCATATTTTGTCTATCCATTCATTTGTTGGGCATTTAGGACATTTTTTCCACCTTTGATCTATTATGAATAGTGCTGCAGTGAACATTGGTGTACAAGTATCTATTTGCATTCTCACTTTCAATTCTTTTGGGTATATATATACCTCGGAGTGGAATTGCTGGATCGTATGGTAATTCTGTGTTTAACATTTTGAGGCTGTACCATTTTGCATTCCCACCAGCAATGGAGGAGGGTTTCAATTCCTCCACATCCTCGCCAATACCCGTTGTTTTCTGTTTTTTAAATCATAGCCATCTTATTGGGGGTGAAGAGGTATCTCATTGTGATTTTGATGTGCATTTCCCTAATGACTAATGATATCATGTGTTTTTTGGCCATAAATATTTCTTCTTTGGTGAAATGTCTATGTAAGTCCCTCATTCATACTTGGATTTGGTTGTCTTCTTATTGCTGAACTGTAGTTCTTTATATATTCTGGATATTAAACCCTTATCTGACATATGGTTTCCAAAAAATTTCTCCTAATCTATAGTTTTTCTCTTTGTTGGTAAAGTTCTTTGAAGACCAAAAGTTTTTAATTTTTATGATGTCCAGTTTATCAATTTTGTCTTTGTTGCTCATGCTTTTGTGTCAGATCTAAGAACCCATTGTTAAAAACTAGGCCCTGAAGGATTACCTTTATGTTTTCTTCTAAGAGTTTTATGGTTTTAGTTCTTACATTTAGGTCCTTGATCCATTTTGAGTTAGTTTTCACACATGATATCAGGTATGGGTCCCGGTTTATTCTTTAGTTTGGGGAAATCCAGTTGTCCCAGCACCATTTATATAAGAGATTATTCCTTCCACTCTCATTTTTAATTCATGTCACCATCTAGTGAGGCCTTCCTCCATCTCCCCCTTCCCACCACCGAGCCCCCACTCACAACTCTGTGAACTATTTCTTGCTTAGTTGCTGTCTCTTCTGATTAGAATATAAGATCCAAGAGAATGTCTGTTGTAGTCAACGATTCTCCACTGTATCCCCAAGTGCCTGGAACACTGTCTGCCTCATAGTGGGTAGTTAATTAATATTTGCTGAGCAGTGACAAGTGATGTCTGGCCATCATCAGAACTCAGTTGTCCAGATTGCCAGCCCAGAGTATTGCCCTCATCTTGGCAGTCAAGGGCTTGAGAGTTTAGCCACCATAAGACAGCCAAGCTCAGCACCCCTGATGATCCCTCCTCAGGAGATTTACACACAATGGCACGCACAGAAGAATGAAAAATAATTCAACAAGATTAGAGGACCACTCAGTTGAGCAAAGCCCTAAACGAAATAATGAATTTGGATTGGTGAAAAGCAGGTGGGAGAAGATTCCAGCCACACAGGGCAGTGTGACTCATGGAATCTTAGAACCAGAAAGTGGAATGTAGCTGGCAGTGAACAAAGCCTGTCATCGCTCCGGGGCTGGGCTGGGAGTCAGGAGGGGTGAAGTAAATCCAGCAATTGGTGCCCATCTTTCCTCAGGGCCTGGAACCTCTGCCTGAGGAGTCAGAATTTGACATTATAAGCAACAGCGGACCTCTGTAAGCTCTGGGGTAAAGAAATGAGAAGAAGGGACACAGTAATAACTTTGGCAGCATGTGTGGGATGTCAAAAGCAAGGCAGCTGGGTGGCCGGGAGGCCCACAGGGAGGCTTTTGAGGATACCTGGGGATACCTGTCAGGACCAGGGAGTTGGCTGTGGCAATGGACCAAATTAGCAGGCTTTGGGGTCCAACTGGGTTTGATGAGAAAGGAAGAGATGGAGTCATGAGTTGTCAGGCTCTGGAAACCAGGGCAGTTGCGGTCATTCCTCATTGTCATTGATACTCAGTTGAGGATGTCGTTGGTCAGTGTGAGAGCTGACTTCTTTCCCTGAGAATGCAGGAGTTCCACCAGATCTTTCTCTGACCTGAGCCTCCATCCCTCAAAACTGCTCCCCCTTCCCGTGCCTGGGCAGGGCTTGATCCATGGCAGGTATTGTTTTCTCAGTGCTGTTCACTCTACCCCCTGGTGCTGGATTGCACACAAGGTGTGGTCTCTGGCAAAGCTCTCCCTAGGGATCTAAGAGCCTGGCTTAGCTGAGGGTTGTAGGGCCAGGGGATAGGAGCGGGGACCAGACAGAGGGAGGGACTTGCATGGAGTGATCTGCACAGAGACAGGGAAGTACAGATCTGTAGGCACCTGAGGGAGAAATCTGCAGCCAGTGAAGGCTGTTATGGGCAGTTGAGGGGACTTGGCAGGTAAGGAGTGTCTCAATGCAGGAAAAATGTCCCCATGCAAGCTGGCCTGCAGGAGGAGGAGGAGGCAAACACCTTCACCATTCCCACTCCAGACAGGCAGGAGTCAAAGCACCCCTGCTACAAAACTCCCCAGTCCAAGGCCTCCTGAGGAAAGCCGCCCCTCTCCCCCTTGCTCACCTCTGTTCTTCTAAAGTGAGCACAGACATGGAAGTCATTGGAGCTGGGTGCATCTGGGGAGTCTTTCTGCAGAACAGGGGCTCTCCAGCTCCTTCTGCCTCCCCAAGCATGCTCCTCTCCCATAGCCCACTTTCAGCCCACTCCCCTCTCTGACCTCCCCCCATGACTAAGGAGGGGGACCCTTTGCCTGGGCAATTCTGCCTCACCCTCCTGACAGGCCCCTGCTGTGCCCCGCAACAACCCTCCTCAGCTCCCCTGTCACTTGTCTGGACCACAACTTCCACCTTAGAATACAGGGGATAGTTTGGCCCCATGGTTTACCAGGGAGGAAGAAGCAGAAATGCCTTAAAACCAAAGCCTGCCTTTGCTACAGCAACTTACTCCTCCCCAATTAAAAGTCCCCACTTACGGGAGTAGGAAAGGAGAAGAGGTCTAGTTACCCAAGACCTGGGTCTGAAAAGAGGTGGCACAGCACAGGGGACGCTGCTGGGAAGGTTGCCAGGGCAGCGACCCCTGCCTTCCCGGGATTGCCCAGGAAGTAGATGCCCTCTGTAAGTGCAATGTAAATGGCTGAGCATTGGCATGCCCCAGCTTCTTTGGATTTCGAATCTGCTTGATTCCAAGAAGAGGATCCTATTCTGGGTCCCCCAGGACCGTTTCCCGCTCAATGGCCGAAGCGGGTCTGGCCTTGGGGAGAGCCCTGGGCTCTGAGGGGACTGCATGATTTTTCCTCCTATACTCTCTGCAGCTTCCACTCTTCGCGGGCCGGGCGTCTGCAGTGCTCCTGGACCACACCAGTCTTTCTCGGAAACGAAACTAACCCGCTTTAAAGTTGCCAGCTCCGGCCCTTGGGTTTCCTGCCCGCCGGGCTCCGGGCTGAGCATTGGGAGGGAAGAGGGCGCGCAGGGCGGGCGGGGCGGCGCGCTGAAGGGGGCTCTTTGCCTGGCCGGCTTGCGCGCAGCCCGGGAGGCGGGGGTGACGCGAAGGACGCGGGCCGGGCGGGGCCGGCGGCGCGCTGACCGCCGTCTTCGTGCGTCCCGCAGGCGGGGAGCCCGCGCCGCCGCGCCTGGCAGCTGGCGATGATTACCTAGAGGCGGGCGCGGTGACACTCGGCCATGGAGCGCGAGCCGGCGGCGGCAGAGGAGCCCCCGGGGAAGGCGCGGCGGCGGCGGCGGCGGGAGGGCCGGACGCGCATAGTGCGTTCCAATCTGCTGCCACCGAGCGCCGAGGAGCCTGCGGCGGGAGCTGCCAAGGGTTCGCGGCACCTGGCCGACAACCGGCTCAAGACCACCAAGTACACGCTGCTGTCCTTCCTGCCCAAGAACCTGTTCGAGCAGTTCCACCGCCTGGCCAACGTGTACTTCGTCTTCATCGCGCTGCTCAACTTCGTGCCGGCGGTGAACGCCTTCCAGCCGGGCCTGGCGCTGGCGCCCGTGCTCTTCATCCTAGCTGTCACAGCGTTTAAGGACTTGTGGGAGGACTACAGCCGCCACCGCTCAGACCACGAGATCAACCACTTGGGCTGCCTAGTCTACAGCAGGTGAGCTGGCGGGCGCCCCTGGAACTTGGGGCTGGGCACAGGTGAGCGGCCCAGAGCGGCTGGGGTGGCCTGGAGAGTGGCTCCACTCCTTGCACGGCGCGCGGGGCTCCCAGGACCTGGCTGCCTCTGTCCTCCCTTGACCGGATTGTCACTCGGACCCTGTGTCTGAGCCGGAACAGGGGGTGCCTCAAAGCTGGGCATCCTCATCCCCAGCAGCGTCACCTTAGAACTAAAAAGGAGGGAAATGCTTCCCCGGGCACAGTCGCCTAAAGTTCCTACCATGGTCCTTGGCCAGGTCCCATGGGCCAGGATGTGTAACAACCAACACGGGAACTTAAAGCTCAGTCTGAGATAAGCAGCTCAGCTGCTTCTGGAGACAGCAGAGTTAAACTGCCACCACGTTCAGATCAGAGACGGCACAGATAATAACAGCAGCTCTATCCACTCGAGCAGTGAACAGGCCACTGAGCTGGGCACTGGTCCCATATTTTCCTATTTAATTTTCTTAAAATGAACCCCAGTTTCCAGATGGAAAGATTGAGGCCTGAGGGGTTTGCGGACTCTGCCCACAGTCGGTACCTACCTGGGTGTGTAGTTCTGGTGGGCCCCTCCCGCTCCTTCTCCCTGCCCTTCCTGGGAGTGTTGGGGCCCCACGCTGGACCGGCCCCGGATGCCTGCTGCCACTGCCCCCTTTATGCCCTTACCCCAAGAGAGGCACTGGGGAGGCAGATGGTTTTAGGCTCCATCTAAAGCCCAGCCTGTCTTGCCCTTCTGTTTCACCTTCCTGGACTCCAGGTGCAGCGGCTGAGATGGGCCTCCACTTTGGAGGACTTTAGCCAAGTCCTACCTCTGTTTCCATGAATGGCCTCTAAAAGGCCCCTTGCACTCTCAGTGACAGATTGTTCCCCTAAAAGGTGAGGGCCATAGTGGCCCCTGACTCCTAGAATAGCTCGGATGAAGACCACGAGTATGTGCACCTGTGCTTGCTTCCCTCTGCACATGAGGGAAACAGGTTCAGAGAGGTTGAGTAATTTGCCCAAGTGCATACAGCTGCCACGTAGTGGGACTGGGATTTGCCCCAGATCTTCCTGATTCCAAAGCTTTTTCACTATTTCTGTGCTTGTCCTTCTCACACTTATGTAAGAATCACTTGAGGATCTTGTTAAAAATAAAATTATCAGGCTCCAAGCTCAAAGTTTCTGACCCAGCAGATCTGTAGTTAGGCTCAGGAATCCTGTGTTTGATTAGCACAGAGGTGACTCCTATGTATAGGGCCACACTTTGAGTGACACTGCCCCGCTTCCTCTCAGAGGTGCCCCACTGGTCTTTCAGCACGCAGGATGCTGAGGAAGGGCTGTGGATGCTGCTTACCTGAGCTGCAGCAGAGGGCAGGGGGTTCCCCATACTGACACCCTCGGTGTCCTGGGAGTAAGGGCTCCTGCAGCCATACCTCTGCCCTCTGCACTGCACAAGTCCAGTGGGGCTCAGGGGCGTTACTATTTGAACACACCCCAGTTCCTGCTATTACTGAGCCTTCAGCTCTGGTGGCCTCATTTTTAGAAATAATCAGGCCTCAAGAAATAGTTTACTTTCGGTAGACAAAGTGCTTTCACACCGCTATGTCATTTGATCTTATAACAACCATGTGATAGAGGGATTATTATTACCTCCACCTTTTGAATGAAAAAACTGAGGTTAGGACCTAAATCAGTCTTCTTGGCTCTGGAGCCTAGGACCTTGCAAGGCATCATGGCGTTCTGAAACATTCAGCTTCCATGTAGGCCACACATGATCCAGTCCAGCTCCCCTCCCCTCCGCCCCAGTATGAATTTCTGAATGCTCAGCACAGCCCTCAGGGGGCTCTTCGGGGCTGAGGGTGCTTTCAGGAGTTCCACAAGTTAAATTCCTTGAATATTTTGCTGGGGAGAGAATAGCCTTCTGCCTGGAGGGTCTGTGGGTAGTCGCCGCTGGGGAGTGATTTCAAGAGCACAGCGGAAGTGGGACCTGTCTCGAGGCAGCTGCTTAACTCCTGCTCAGGCCCTCTTTTTACCTACCTGCAGCAGACATTGTCAACACTCTTGACTCACCAGCCATCTGCAGGACAGTCGTCCCAGTGCCCCAGTTCTACTCAGAAGGCCCCAGGAAGCCAGGTCAAGTTCCTCTAGTCCAAGAAAGTTTGAGATGGGGGTTTCCTGGACTGGGCTGTGACAGTATGGATGACCGAACCCTCCCCTGTCCTCAAAAGCGGTGAGCAACTTGGGCACTGATGGCTTTCCAGGCTTCATGGAGCTCAGCTGCTGGTCCCAGCTACCCCTGTCCACCCACTCGTATGGAGGTCCTGAGCCACACCTCACTGATCCAGGCCCAAGAGATGGACGGAGGAGGAAGCTGGGACCCCATGAGATGACTGTGGGGACCCATTGCTCCATGGGGCAAATCCTTCTGTGGAAAGTGAGGCACTGGGTGGACCCCTCAACCAGGGATGCAGCAATGTCAGGAGAGGCCTCCTGAGTGGGGCAGAGGTCCCAGGCTGTGCAGGGAGACCAAGAAGGATGTGGTCAGTCATGGACAGGGGGGCGGGGGCTGCGCAAGAGGGAGCCCAGGGCAGGGGGAGGCATGTGACCACAAGGGTGTGACCAGGTCCTAGTGTAGTGCATGGAGGCGAGGTGCTGTAGAAGGCCCAGGGCCTCCTGCTTCCCCTTCACACTCGGGGGGCTCCTCTGGGCAGGCCTGTCAGCCAAAGAAGGCGAAGTTTGTTGGGCGCCTTTGGTTACTACAGGAAGAATCAGAAGCACATGGGACAATGTCTGAGCCTATTGTGTGCCATGGAGTCCAGCCGCCACCAAGCGCAGTTGTCCAGTGGATGTGCAAGTGTGTTAATTTGTGCACATTTACATATGTTGTGCCAGAGTGAGGTGTAGGTGTGTGGGGCGTGACTCCTAGAACGGAGGGAGATTTCTCCTCGACATGCAGCCTGCAGAGGGTCAGTTATTGGTACCAGTATTCATATGACGTCTGTTAATGAAACGGTCCTTGGGTCCCCTCTATGAGAATCACCTATTGTGTATGTTAGAAAGTGCAGCTTCCTGGGCCCCCAGACAATGGAGCCAGAGTCTCTGGAGGTAGACGGGGTGTTGGGGCTGAGGGCCTACATCACTGATGAGCCCGGAGAGTCTTTCAGCAGGCCTCTGTTTCCATGTCCAAACCCGTTTTATCCTCCCATAGAATTCGAACTGTATTTAGGAAAATCCTTCCAAAATGTGCTCAACCAGAGAGAGCTGTGATCCTGGGGATAGGGCAGCCGGGGGCCCTGCCTGTGGCTACTGCCTGGTGGGCGGAGCCTAGGTCTAAGATTCATGTGGTGGTGCTCAGTTTGGGCAGGTACAGAGTATAGGGTGCAGGGCGGGTGCCAGCTGGTCTACGTCCTCAATGCCAGCAAAGCCAGGTGCTGAGACTCTGCCTCCCTCTGGGCCACGGGTGGAAGACACGGGTACTCGAGCCCGATCCCACCACACACAGCGGTGAACAGCGGGAGGAACCAAGGAATGCATTTATTTTAAAACATGACCATCCACCCCTGTTAAAATAGGGGAAAGTGGGTAACACCGTACCGAGAGCAAACTGCGGCACTATACTCGGCACGGCCTGAGGAGGGAGCCTTGGGCTTGGGTTCGAGTCCTGCTATTTGTGGCCATGGGACCCTAGACAAGTCATGTCCCTTGCTTGCCCTCCTCCATTACCTAATTTGTAAACTGGTGATGCAGGGCCCCAGTACCACACAGCCCTTCGCGCTCTGACCCCAGGGCCTTGGGAAGGTGTTGTTGCTCTTGTCCCCAGAGACATGGGCCTTGGCCTTCATCTCTCTGCTCAGAACCCTGGCCTGGGTGGTAGTAGATATGTTTCTGTTTTTTCCCTTTTGCTTCCACGCACCTTATGATAGCTCAGTATGCTCTTATTGACAGCTTCAGTGTTTGTCTCTAGGATGATGTTGTCAATAGTAGCATTTCTGTGTGAAATGACCTGAGGTGACTTCTCTCCTGAATCGTTTGGACCCCATATTTGGAGCTAAGTGTATGTCTTGGTACCTTTCCATCATCTTTTGGGAAAACAGGTAGTCAGGGAGTAATGCTTATTTTGGAATTATCCTACATTTTGTCTCTTCCCTTTCCTTTGATTCCCATTTCATTTTCCCAGCTAGCGGTCTTATCTGTCTAACCTGGTTACTTTGTGCTTCATGACTTGTTGTTTCAAAAGAACTTTGGAAATGACAAGGTGGTATCTCACAGAACAAAGGTCTCCTTCTGTTTTCTTTTCTTACCAGGGATGTGTTTAGTTTATCTTGTCTCTCTTCTCCCTCCCCTCGCTTGTCTCTTTCCCTTCCTTTCTTGGTGAGCCATGTCTCCTCCTCTTTCTTGTCCTTGGCCCTTGCTGGGCCTATTCCTTCCCCAGCTAATTCAGCAAAAAGACCAGAGACAGAAACACTTTTCTCCTGTGAAGCACAGCGTCCTTTTCTTATTTGGAGTAAAAGATATGCAAAAACAAGGACATCAAGATAAGGCCAGGAGACACTAATACACGAAGATAATGCAAGTTCTCTTTAAGCTGGTTTGACATCGCTGCAGGTATACAAGACCAGAGGACGCTTTAGGAATCATAATTCAACGTTGCCATTCGCATATTTTTTCAGGAATATTTTTTCTTTTGATACCTGTTATGTGTCATATATTACTAGGTTCACGCGGTCTAGTTGTAGTAGAAAAAGAGCCCCTCCTTTCCCTAAACACTTGGTTGCCATCAGAGACAGTCTTGTTCACGGGGCAGTAATAGTGGTGGTTCTTTTCTTACTTGTTAATATGGGCCAGATGTTTTGTATGCACTACTCCAGCTTATCCTCACAAAACAACCCTATTATTTTTCATATCCCATTTCACAGATGCGGAAACTGAAACCACACAAGTAAGTAACTTGCTTGCCGTCACCCTGGTAATAGGTGGTAGCAC